TATATATACGTATATATGTTGGGGTTACATATTTACCTCCGCGCAAACGGAGGTCATGCAATCGCTCTCGTGTGTGTGTGTGTAGCCACCGCGCGATCGATAGCGTGTCGAGTCGGCAGCAGCCCCCAGTGAGCGGCGAGTCAGCAGCAGCCCCCAGTGAGCGGCGAGTCAGCAGCAGGCGAGTCAGTCAGCAGCCGCCACCAGCGAGCACCTACATGTTACATGCTCGCGGAGGTATGCACTCTCCGTGAGTGCCCTCTGTCTAGTTGTACATATTTTTACGTCAGAGCTATATGGGAGCTGCGCAAATATGTAATGAGAAAAATTTTATATTTGGGAAACATTTGTAATCACACAGCAGGAGGTGTGCTTAATTGTGCGAATAGTCGAGCTATTATAAAAATGCTAGTGTGCGTGCGTGCGTGCGTGTGTGCATGTGTGGGTGTGTGTGTGTGTGGGTGTGTGTGTGTGTGTGTGTGCGTGTGCGTGTGTGTGTGCGTGTGCGTGTGCGTGTGCGTGTGTGTGTGTGTGTGTGTATTTGTGGTTTGTGCATCTGTGCGTGTGTGCATGCGTACGTGCATGCGAGAAAGAGTGATAGCGAGTGAACAAGAGAGATACTGCTAACAGATATACAAGAAGTAGCATCATTTTCTTTGATACATCAAATGTTTGTGCAAGTGCGTGCGTGCATGCATACATTGCTCTAGTTGTTGTTTGTGTTGTTGTTGTTGTTGTTGTTGTTGTTGTTGTTGTTGCTCTAGGTATTGTCACTGCCACTGTTGTCATTGATGTTGTCTCCGCCTCAAATTTTCCTGGTTGTCATTGGCGTTGCTGCTGCCATTGTGCATTGTGTGTCGTCGTTGTCGTTGTCGTTGTTGTTGTCGTTGTTGTTGTCGTCGTCGTCGTCGTCGTTGTTGTTGTTGTGTGTTGTGGCCGTCATTGTTGTCGTCGTGCCACGGTGATGACCGGCTGCGTTTGCTTGATTCCGCACAGAGTCTCTCAACCAGCGGGACTACAACCCGTGGGGGCGGCCAGGCTGCGGCGCCCCCTCGGCCGCCCTCGGCTCCACGTGGGCCTCCCCCATGCGGGCGCCGCCGCAGCAGCAGCAGGAACAACAACAACAACAACAACAGGTAAAGTCCGATATTAGTCACCGGGAATGCTGCGCGCTAACCCGCGTCGTTTGCATCGTTCCGCGATATGATCGTCGTCGTAGTAACATCGGCAGCTTTCGGCTTCCGTCGGGATACTCCCTAAAATAGTCCAACAGACCCTATTATCTTGGTGTGGCAAGCGTACCTCCCCCCCCAATCTCCCCTGTTGCATCAACCTAGTAGAATGGCATAACGTCGCATTCATTTCGTAAACCCCGCATAAATGCGACGTCGTTCTGTCTTCTGCTGTCGCGTATTTGCCTAGACGACGCAGAACGGTCGCTGTTTCTTGCAGGTAAACGACCGATTTGCGTGCGTTTCTGTCGCGCACGCCATTTCTGGTCACGTGAGCTGCCGTGCACGTTCCTGTGTTTCACTCTCGAGACGATGGACGCGGTGGCATTTGCGCGGGCGAGTGGGAGGCGTTGAACTCGCATTTTCAGTAATGGCTAATGGCACATTATCGACGCATCGGTGTAATGGCCATTTCAAGTTCGTGCTGCAAGCTCGCCTTGTAACCGAATGTTTGGCAAACTGGTCCGGTCAGTAATTTGCTCGGCATTAGCGAAATTTCCAAATTGGCGAAGTTTGCTCGGGCTTTGCTTGGACGATTATCTTGCTCAAGTGGTAACTTTGCCAGCAATAGTGCTTATCCCAGCTCGGTTTGCAAGCTTCCTTCTGTTAGCAACCCTGAATGCTCTCTGGGCAAGTCTGCTAAGGTAGCAAAGTTGTTCAGCTAGTGATAGTAGGATCAGGGAGGTCGAAAACAAGAGGATACAAGTTCACTTTTCCCAACGAAGCCGATCTGCTGATGGAAAAGTGAAAGCGTCGAAAGCATGTTTTCGATGAGGAAAAGGATCGAAAAAGCACAAGCACAGGGGGACCCGCCGTGACACTAAGTCTATTGCACTTACGCGATTTTACACAGTGAAATCCTAAACCTCGATGCAAAATTCTATCATTTAGTTAATTAGATTCCGGCTTTTGCGTGTGGAGTAAACCAATGTGGTTTCAGCTCGGCAGCGCCCGCATCTATTCTTCTCACTGCAGGCCACGAGACGTTATTGCATCACGCCCGACCAGCCGGCCAATGTGGTGCCGCCGGCGACGCGAGCCAGCCAATCAGCGCCGGCCAGCATCGTCGCTCGTTCGGCTTACGTCGCGCCCGCTGCCATGCGCGAATCCGGTGTCATCGCGGTGAGTCGCTGCTGCCATCTGGTGGTGAGGAGTGAAAAGGGTTCTAGTTATGGATGATCGGGTGTTGCTAGGACTGCTTGAAAAGATAGAGGGTGGAAGGGTGGAGGTGGTGTCACGATAACTCATCCAGGCTGCGATCTGTGTAGCACGGTGCAGTTTATAATTTCTCACCTAGCCGATTCTTTATGCTGGCCTTTCTCTAGCCTTACCTAACCAAATTTACTATGCACTAGTTTTTGTCCAGCCCGGGCCAACCCGATTCCTCTTAGTCCATGGATTTCACCATGGCTGTTGCCGCCGTCGCGGAGACGTAACAATGTGCTTGTGTTTATTAACAGAACGTAGTGCCGCTGCCTGACACGTCTAAGCAAGACAAGAGACAATGGCGCAAGGATCTCGGTAAGCCTGGAGCGCATCACTACTACTACTGCTGCTGCTGCTGCTGCTGCTACTACTACTACTACTACTACTACTAATAATAATAATAATAATAATAATAATAATAACGCTACGTAAACAACAACAACAACAAAAAACAATAATGGTGGCGGCCTTGTCCATGATGATTTTGCTGATTTTCTTGGAATTAAAAAAAAAAAATAAATATATTTGTGTGTAATTAAATATATAAGAAAAAAAAGAGCAAACATCACACAACATCGCCTGGTTCTCTTGTCACAGAGAAACAGATGGAGGAGCAGAAGCA